GAGCATGTTATAATTTCCTCATTCGAGAGCTCTCTATGGCCGAGTGTCGAAGCAGAGGCATTATTCAGCCTGGGAATAGAGGCGATCGTGACACATTTCGAGCGTGAAACTCGAGAGATGCGTTTCGCGCTCATTAACACCCTCAATGGGCATACTCCAGTAAACGTCCATCTTCTTTGGACTGGTCAAAAGGGGGTTGATTAAACACGTTCCTCTCAGGGCTTTCCTGCGTCTCTCGCTCCTCCTTCTCCTCGAGTTTCCTATTTACCCTCGCTTCTCTAACCCCCTTTTCTTCAATTCCAACGCACACACCTCATTCTACCGTATCATTTTTCTTCCCTTCTGCCATTGTTTTCGCGACTATTTCTTTCGCTTTGTCTCTTTCTCTCTTGTGTGTCTTTTCGTTTTTCTTTCGCTCTGTCTCTGTCTCTCTCTCTCTCTCTCTCTGTCTGTCTGTCTGTCTTTCTTTTTCTCTCGCTCTGTCTCTCTGTCTGTCTCTCCCCCTCTCTCTTTCTCTCTCTGTCTTTTCCTTTTTCTGTGTCTTTCTTTTTCTCTCGCTCTGTCTCTCTTTCTCTGTGTGTCTCTTTCTCTGTCTGTCTGTCTGTCTCTCTCTCCCCCCCTCTCTTTTTCTCTCTCTGTCTCCCTCTCTCTCTCTCTGTCTCTATCTGTCTCCGTCTCTCTCCCTCTCTCTCTGCCTCTCTCTGCCTCTCTCTGCCTCTCTCTGTCTCTCTCTGCCTCTCTCTGTCTCTCTCTGCCTCTCTCTGTCTCTCTCTGCCTCTCTCTGCCTCTCTCTGTCTCTCTCTGCCTCTCTCTTTCTCTCTCTTTCTCTTTCTGTCTCTCTGTCTCTCTCTTTCTCTCTCTGCCTCGCTCTCTCTCTCTCTGTCTCCCTCTGTCTCGCCCTCTCTCTCTCTGTGTCTCTCTCTCTCTGTCTCTTCCTCTCCCTGCTTTTGAAAAAGATTCGAAACCTCGCTTGAATCACAATCGAGACTCTCTTCTGTCTCGCATAATTTTATTATCCTCGGCGGTTCGATTCTTCACTTTCGTCGCCGGACAAAGTCAACGAAACCGTGTCATCCTGAATTCAATTATGGTTAACGTTGCAGTACGACTTTTAGGTGTATCTTTCGGTGTCTGAGCATTTGGTAGCGTAGTGTGGAATTGTGTGCTCTGGTTTTAGTCTCGATGAATCGAATTTTTCTTTTAAGAATCATCGCCGATTTTGATGAAACTTTGCTATGTGGTAGTTCTCTAAAAACTATTCGACACGTATTTTTTTATACTGTCGATCGTCCACAGCGAAGGGGTGAAAATCTCCCCGAAACTTAGAGATTTCTTAGAGAAAGTCTAATATCCTTATCTAAATATGTTTATTTCTCTCATTTGTTAGGGCGATTTCCACTCTTTTAATGTGGACAATTATAAAAGAAATACGTGTCAAGTTTTTTTTTTTCCAGTGCTACCATATACCAAAGTTGTGAGATGCAAAAGAAGTTTGCCTCGAGGTATCGAAATGAAGTGACAAATTCAGAATTCTCTTAATTCCGTCAGACCTGATCTATAACTTTTTTCAGTGTATGAAGAAAAGATCTCGATTTAATGTTATAGGTTTGCAAAGTTCGACCACCTTGGTGTTACAACTACGCGCAACGAGAAGCTTATATGCTTCACCGGTTGACGTTGGAACGATTCAATCTAACAAGAGTACCGATGGATTGTGTTTCAGGTGGCCAAGTTGTTCTCCTACACGTGGACTATGGGCCTGTTCCTGTGCAAGTCGGTGCATTATATGCAGAGCGTCTCGGCTATTTGCTCGGTCGTCACTTTAACCGCAATGTCGATCGAAAGGTAAACCTACCGTTATTGCTTCCTATGACCCGACCATTTTTTGCTTTTAGACCCACGTCGTCTGTTATATACGCTTGTTTCATACGTGTCACGTGCAGAAATCACTTGAAAAATGAGACGAATAATTTTCTGCTTTGTCGAAAAGTATCGAGAAGTATGTTGGATTATTACTAATAATAATGCGTCAGCCAGTAAGCAAAAATGAATTGTGTTATACATATGAGAAACACTGCTAGTGAAAGGAACGTAATAGACTGATGGTTTCCCTTTCTTAAATGCGCAGAATTTCAGTTGTGCCCTTGCGTCTTTTTTCCCTTTCACTTCGAGACGTCCTTCCGCGCCGTACAAATAAAAACACATTTAAGAAAATTTTTACAGTGAACACTATTTATTAAACTCATTATCCAATAAAGTGTTACAGTAAAGCTGAAATATTATCAATTGCCACTCAGATTCAGAGAATAACAGTAAAAATAAAATTACATATTTTGATTAGTAAAAATTATTAATTAGAGTGTATTTAATCTCCATTTGATTAAAACCTAATTACTATTTATCGACTATTTGATCGTTCCTCGATTCTCCACGCTCGAGAATCTGAAATTAAAAATCACTTCACGAAGGAGGACGCGTTTGACGTTCTTGAAGGGACCGCCCTGGGGAATAAAAGTGGAGAAATCGTTGCACGCTTGGGACGTGCTGTTTCACTTAATTGATGCACTTCAACGAGTTCCATGAAATTCATCTTATTTATACCTGTGTGGGATTCGAGAAGTTTCAGCGACAGGTCGAGACGTGTTGAGACGTGTCGAGACAGGTCGAGCCGCGTTCTGATGCGCGCGGGGTGGGGGGTGGGATGGGAGCGTGGATGTGGGAAGAGAAGGGGGGGAGGAACGGAGAGAGGCAGTCGAAGTTAAAATTGAGACGTAGACGGATGTGCATTCTAATAAACCTTTCTGTATAATATTATTTTTCTTTCTCTATCCTACACCTGTATCTCCACAGTGTAGAAAATTTCCTCTCTCTTTCTTCATATACACAGGTCATTCTTAAATGTCACCTTTCGTTGTCTCATCACGAAACCACTTTAAACCTCCTAGTATTCTTACTTTTTCTCGTTTTTTCTGTGTTCTAAAGAGATCGATAGATCTGTAGGGATTACATATTGAGAATCTGTTCTGTTCGATAATCCAAGCATGTCTCACAGTGATAGATCAACAGCTGACGATGATTGAAGGCTTTGTGACAAAAATAGAACGGCGAAGTTTGATGAACGTGGAAGTTGTTTGTGAAAATGGTACAGCGTTATCGAGGAGACAGTTTAACGGTAGCGTGAAGAATGTGATAGACGATCTGTGTGCATTTCGGTGGTTTTTCTCTGGTGTGTGTGCAGGAAAAATAAATATTTTTTTGAAGTGTGGAAAATACAAAAATCACAGGTTAAATTTGAAAGCCTCGATTAATAATTCGAAGGGAGAAGTGATTCAATATTGTCACTCGTAATGTGGAGGATTTCGAGGAAAATTAGTGTATTTCTATGATTTTGAAAAATAAAACTTTGAAATGTAAAAATACAAAAATCACAGCTTAAATCTTAAAATCCTCGATGAATAATTCGAAGGGAAAAACAATTCAAATTTACATTGTCGCTCGTAATACCGAGGATTTAGAGGAGAATTTATCGGTACAAATATTTTACTAAAGACACAGAAAGTGTTTGCTGATTTATGAATAAGAGCCGTATATTTAGAATCGGAAATTAGATAGAATGTAGGATCTACATTTGCAACAGATGTTTATTATCATCTTAGGTTGATGAGTTTGGAACAGGTCCACGTGAGAGATTAGGCAATCTTTTGGCTCGATTCACGTTCGCCTAAGAACTTTGGGATTAAATTGTAATTATTATGCCGAAGATCTCGCGGATATTATAACTGTTTTACACATCCCATTAACAGTTTGTAGTTCGACTTGCTTCCTAGTTATTCACATCCTGATAACACTCTAATCTTCCGCGGATATATAGTCGTCGAAGCTTCGCGCGGATCTACATTTCCACACTCTTCCTTTGCTCTCGAACGAACGTAATATTTTAAATAGAGAAAAAATAGATAAATTTAATAGAATATTAAATTTTTTTAAAAGTTCAAATTTGAATATAAATATAATTTTCTAATGTAGTATCGGGGCCTCCGTGCACAAAAATAGGAAACCGGCACGGGAGAATACAGATGGGGTGATTGGCGTAGCGGGCAAAGCCTCGGCTTGGTAAACCGTAGGTCCCGGGTTCGATTCTCGGTTGGGTCCTTCAATATTTTTCCGTCGTCGATTTCTACACTAATATTTATAAAACTAATAAGAAATGAAAAGTGGAGATTGTAAAGCAAGGATATCGATTCAGATCGCCTTTATAAAAATCAAAAAGGAAAAGGAGATATTGTAAAGGAAAGGATATCGATTCAGATCGCCTTTATAGAGTTTGAACAACAAGTATACACAATGCATCGATGAAGTCAGCGTAAAATTCTTGGAAAAAATTCCCTTTCGTTCCTTTTCTCCGAGAAGAATTTGAAATTCCAGGGACAATCGTGTCGAATGCTCCTCTGGCGCAACTCCAGCAGATTCGTATTGCCCCTTTCTTTCCACACCCTTCGAGAACACTTAACACGAGCAGCTTGTGAATCTCCCTTTCCATTTCAAACCAGATTGCTCGCTGTCCTTATTCCCTCTTTCGTCTGTGTACAACAAAGCTAAATTCAGTCACGCATCTTATTAACAACGATACTTAACGTGATAAAAAAATCTCGAATTAAAAATATTCTCTGAATAGTTTGGTTTTCTTTGCGGAGAAATATCGAGTCCAAGAAATATTGAAAATATTTGAATAATGTTTCTGTTTAC